GTCGCCTTCGTCGTAACCTGCGGAGTTGGCCAGTTTATCGTACCGAGTTTTCATCCGGTCACTGGCAAGCTTCAGATGTTGCCGGGCATAATTGTGGATGTCGTGCAGATGATCCACTAAGTCTGCTGCATAATCGGTTGTGGGTTGTTCTTTGTCTGGGGGTACTCCAAACAGCAGGTCGCAGGGTAGCCGTAGTTCTCGTCCGAACACTAGACCAGCAGGCGTCAGGCCCGTAGTGTCGTGAGTGGATGTGTAATGGAATATCACAGTAGTAAGCAGGCCAAATATTTTATGAAGGTGAACAAAATAACACTATACCTGTATAACAGTAATGGACAAGCATCCAAAGTGCATCTCCATCTACATCTTGTAGAACCACCTCACTCTGATCTGCTTCACGGAGACCACTCATGAACATAGCAGCAAAATATTCAGAGCCAGCGCTCAAAACAAGACGATGTGCAGGAATACGATGAGAACCTGTAAAAACAGACAAAGAAATTAAATACAATGACAAAGGTCACGCTCTTCTTCGCTGTGAGAACCTCAAAATACATAAGTACAATAAGGTCATACACAGACATGAAAATATACTAGACAGTCACAGCTTGGATAAACATAAAATATCATGACAGTTTGGTATTACTTACAGTTAGAAGAAATTCTATTTTAAGGAAGCAATCCTTGTCTTTTTTTTTTTTTCTGTGGCACTACAGCCCCAATTTGGGCCTAGGCCTACCTCCATGACACTCTCCGTTTCACTTCGGTTTACTAGATCTTACACATGCTGCAGGACTCCTTGGGCGAGTGATCAGCTCGTCGCAAGGCCTCTACCTGTAGACAAACACAGAAAAACGCACACAAACATCCATGCCCTGGGTGGGATTCGAACCCACGATCCCAGCTTCCGAGCGAGCAAAGACAGTGCACGCCTTAGACCGCTCGGCTACCGTGACCGGCAATCCTTGTCTTACCTTCAACAATTATAGATGTTTCCTGCATAGTAAGTAATGTAGTCATACCTGCTACTAAAGTAATATCTGTGAGCTGATTCTTGAGCAAATATGCTTCCATTCTGTTAAGACTACTCTCAGCATGGTGCAATGAGCGGAAGCACTCATCATGAGCTGTAAGACTTGATAAGCTATATACACTTCCTCCATCTTTGGGGCTGGCCATTCCATGGTCTGAGTAGCTGCAATACCAGGAATTTGCTTATGTATCAAAAAAAATATAAAGGAGAATCAAGGAATGAGGTCTGGTCATATAATCTTGTTGTGGTCTTATGGGCAGAACTGATTAAAATAACATTTATTAAAAAAAGAAGTTATCTAATGTTATAAATCACATTTACAGTACAACACTGAGAAACAAAATTCTAAAATACAAACATGAAAACAAACATGTGATATTAATTTCCTGTACAAAAAACCAGACCAGATATCAGACCAAATGTATTACTGATATTCAATCTTGAACTAATTCTAGATGTAAAATGGCAAGTGTTGCCAATCAGTGCATAGAATTTTCTACCAAACTAATAAGAAACACAATTTTCTTTACTGTAATAGTAAACACTGTTGAGGCTGGCACTCCTTATTAGTAGGTTGATCTGCAGGTTTCTGAGTTGTTGAAGAACTGCACCACATTGTACTGCAACTATGAAACTGCCCCTTATTTTGCAATGATTTTAACATTTTCTGCATAATACACACTTTTACTATTCATAAACACACACTGATTAATTACATATCTTCATGTTTTCTCTCTTCCTTCAATCAGCTGAAAGTAATTTTAGTATAAATTGTTCGGTGATAGTCCAATTACAAGTTGACAACTATCAGTGTCATATAGTTCTCTTCTCTATAACGAATCCATCAATATTCTACAAAATATCTCAAACAGAAAGGCAAGCATTCTGTTATGAATGAAGCATTTATTCAAATAAAAATCATGAAGTAGGATTTGAGGTTATCACAGCAGTAGTTATGAAGAGTTTTATCTTCGGGAAAGTAACACCTTGTTGTCTGTTGAAAGTCAACTGACCTTTTGGAGGAACATATTGCCTCCATCTTCAGGGATGAAGAGATAGCCAAGCAAAAAAACCACAAATCTGGCAGCAAGCATGCAAAGCCTGGCTCTCGTGCTTGCTGTCAGCTTCATGCTGGTTTCCTCAACCCTGAAAATGGATGTGTCATGTTCCTCCAAAATTTTGGTTGATTTTCAGTAGGCTACAGGACATTACATCTCAGAAATTAAAATCTTAAAAGTCATGAAGCTCTACATCTCCCCTGTTTTAAATTGTCTGCAGATGATACCTGCACATGACATAGAAACATGAATGTTGTGTTTTCTGCAAACTGCAATGTGGACTCACTGCAGTGAGTTCGGGGTATCAGCTCTGGAACATAAAGATCAATGAAAGGAAAACTCAGGTGATTTATTTTTCCAGAAGACTTAAGAGTCCCTGATGACATACTACACCTAAACGATGAGACATTCCCTTTGTAAATAATGTAACATATCTTGGGGTCACTTCCAACAGGATGACATGGAGACATCATATCAAAATAACTGTAGCCAAGGCCTTGTGCATGTACATAAGGACCCATTTGCTATTCAAAAGTTGGTGTTTCAATACAAATACTGAACTTAAATTTACAAAGCTCTGATCATGTCAGTTATGACTCACGCCTGTCCCACCTGGCAATATGCGGTGGACACTCATCTTTTAAAATTTCAGCGCCTGCAGAACATAGTACTCTGCACTACTGGAAGTCTCGATAGGTGCACACCAGTCATCAAATTGCACGTGACTTTCAAAATTCCTTACACTCATGACTTCATAACTATATTATTAAGGACACAGGCAGAAGTAATCCTAAACCATGTAAATCGAAATGTACATGGTACTGAACAAGGAGAAGCCAGGCATAGGTGGTATAAGAGGCATAACCTTCATGGTGGTGATGCCTATGACCCTTCAGCTGACTAACTGCTGTTTCAGAGTAATTAAATAGGTCAAGGTATACCTGCCGCACAAGCCTGCATTAACAGAACACCTCTGTATATCTTGTATAAATGTTACTATAGCGCAGGGACAAAGGGTGCAGACCTGGGCACTGTAACAGCGCAGATATACTCATGCTGAAACTACAGTGCAACAAACATAGCGCCTACATATAGAGACCAACCCCTCCTTTGTCTAAGAGGAGGCCCCATTTTGAGACATGTACATATCCAGGAGAGAATAAAAATCTTGCTTATGGATCTCAAGAAGGCTGAAGCCAGGAATGACTGTGCTGGCGAAGAACAGCAGCAATTTAACCGACCAACACATAAACCTCAGCAGAGGGGGGGTAACCAGTAGTAGTCAACCCCTCATCTCATCAAGGAGAAGGCCCCATTTCAAAATATTTTAACTTCTTTGAAAAAATATAAATGTGTGACGATACACAGAGGTACCTCTGGGTCCCAGGTTCAGCAGCTACTTCTTCATGGCATTATGTGGAATAAAATTTTTCAGTTGCAATTCTGAAATAGTCACAGCTGTCTCACAATTGTCAACAGCTGTTTCTAGGAGTATGGACTGGATTCTTCTGGCACAGGATGAGGACCAGTGGAGGGCTCTTGTGAATACAGTACTGAACCTTTGGGTTCCAAAAATGTTGGGAAATTCTTGAATAGCTGAATGACTAGTGGTTTCTCAAGAAGGGCTCAGCTCCATGGAGTTAGTTACTGGTTCAGTATAACCCCAATTACTAGGTGGTTCAAATTCGACTGGAACTGATTTTTTTTTGTAAACAAGCCGCACTGTGCAGCAGCTGTGCGACCTTGAGAGATTGTAGCCACAACCTCCACCCTCCCTCATGTTAGGGTTAGAACCTGTTCAGTCCTGTCTGGGAGTTGCTAGAGTGATGAGCGAACAGAAGTTACCATGGAGCGCAGAACAATGCATTGTGATCAAATTCCTCACTGGAGAAAACGTCCCGTCTGCTGAAATTCACCACAGACTCCAACAACAGTATGCGGAAGAGTCTCTCTCACGGACCCGTGTGTCTGAGTGGTGTAAGTGCTTCAGAGAGGGCAGAGAGCGCGTGGAGAATGAACCGCATGATCGTTGGCCGCGAACATCTGTCGCTGAACCAAACATTGATCGTGCAGACGCGCTTATTCGTGAGAATGGGTGCATCACTATCAAGGAACTTCGAGCAATGCCGTCCATCAGTGTTGGTAGTGTAGAGGACATCATGAAATACCACCTGCACTATCACAAGGTGAATGCACGGTGGGTACCACGCACTTTGACGGACGTGAACAAAATGGTGAGCATGCAAGTTGCCAGTCATCTCCTACAGCAGTTTGAAGACGAAGGTGATGCATTTTTGAAGTCTATAGTGACCACCGATGAAACGTGGGTGCACTACTTCATTCCCGAGTCCCAGCAATTGTCACGAGAGTGGCGGCATACCAGTTCTCCCAAACCCAACAGAGCGCGGAGCAGCCATTCGGCAGGAAAAGTGATGGCAACATTCTTCTGGGACTGGCAGGGGGTTATCCATGTAGACTTTCTGACAGATGCCAGAACAGTCAATGCAGCTTATTTCTCAGGCCTCCTGGCAACAGACATGAAGCAAAAGATCCGATCCAAGCGGAAGAGAGGTGGAAAGCGGGTAGCCTTCCTTCAAGACAATGCATGCCCCCATACAGCCAAAACAATGGAAACCCTTCGCAAATTGAAATGGAACCTTGTGACACACCCGCCATACAGTCCCGATTTGGCCCCAAGTGATTTCTACCTGTTCGGAAGGCTCAAATTGGACTTGCAAGGCATGCGGTTTATGGACGACGCTGTCATCCAGACTGTTCAGGAGTGGATACGCCGCCAACCACAAATCTTTTTTTTAAAAGGGCATCAGGATGCTTCCAGAAAGTTGGAAAAAATGTGCTCACTCCAGAGTGGAGTACGTTGAAGACCGACATGTACAAGTAATTGTTTGGCAATTATACTACTCTGCACAATTTTAAATTTGAGTATAAATAGCATTAAGAATGCTATCCATGATTATTTCATAAGAAAATGCCATGATAAATTGCTTTACCTCTGAGGCTTTTCATCAGGACTACACTCCTCTCTCCTCTCTCGGTTGCAATGGGCCATTTTTCAAACGTCCTGAAAGATATAAAATTTAATCTTAATTTGGTTGGTTATTCCTTTCTAATATGAAACTCATGTCCCAACATTTTTAGAATGCAAAAGAATATAATTAGAATTATGTTGGGACGCAGAAGGAGGGATTTGTGCAGGAACTTATTTAGAGAATTGGAAATCTTACCTCTGGCATCTCAGTACATACTATCTCTTGTGCTCTTTGTGATAAAAAACAGAAACAAATTCATAGTAAAATCAGAGATTCATAAAATAAATACCAGACAGCAAAATAATCTCCATCAGCCTCTTGTAAATTTGAGTAAATACCAAAAGGGAATAAGGTCTATAATAATCTGCCACAACATATTAAGGAGGTATCAAGTGACACTAAGAGTTTTGAGGTATAATTAAAACAATTTTTATATTTACATTCTTTTTATTCTTTACATGAATATTTTGGTTATAAATCTTTTTAAGATGCGAGTAGTTGTCTTGTTTTACAATTAAAAGAAGACAAGATTGTCAGTCTGTGTTGCGGTTTTTAGTTGCTTATTTTAGATACACACAATCTTTAGATTACTGTATACTAGTCTTTATTTCAATTATATAATTAATGTATGTTATATAAAACTCATTAATGACATTGTGTTTTAACTACTGAATTTTTAATTAATAGATGCGAGTAGTTGTCTTGTTTTACAATTAAAAGAAGACAAGATTGTCAGTCTGTGTTGCGGTTTTTAGTTGCTTATTTTAGATACACACAATCTTTAGATTACTGTATACTAGTCTTTATTTCAATTATATAATTAATGTATGTTATATAAAACTCATTAATGACATTGTGTTTTAACTACTGAATTTTTAATTAATAGATGCGAGTAGTTGTCTTGTTTTACAATTAAAAGAAGACAAGATTGTCAGTCTGTGTTGCGGTTTTTAGTTGCTTATTTTAGATACACGCAATCTTTAGATTACTGTATACTAGTCTTTATTTCAATTATATAATTAATGTATGTTATATAAAACTCATTAATGACATTGTGTTTTAACTATTGAATTTTTAATTAATAGACTTGTATAAAACTGTACAAACTGTATAAGGTTTGCCATTACTTTTACTACTAAAATTAACTTATTTATTATATTGTATATGTTTATCAGTATTTTATACAAATGTGTATGCTATTGGATGACAACTGTAATCCTTAGTTGTGACTGTAACTAGGACGATCTCCACATCCGCATGAGAATGTACTCTCGACAGGAATTATGGAAGGTGAATAAATGAAATGAAATAACCCACAATCCATACAAATATCCCAGATGGATATTTATAAAATAGCCTGCCCACTTTTATTCACCTTCTTACAGTCAATAATTTTGTTTTATATTTTTTAAATTTCTAAAGTTACATATTTACTTAGCTGTAGATGTCTATGGTAAATGCAGAATTGTCCCTGTGATTAACTAATAAAGTACCACACTATCGAGGTGCATGGGAGAGTGGTGATATAGCTCCATATTCTTAACTTCAGCACTATATGGAGGTGAATGGTCAGCTTCACATTCTTCCCAATTTATTTCCATGGAAATAGCCTCCAGTACCCACTGTATAGGGCTGTGGATGGGTTCCAGAACCAGTCTGAATGCTACTGAGAAGAAAAATATTGAACCATAATTTCTCAGTCATCCACTCTGTAATGCAGCTACCATAACAAGTGAGCTATCCTGGCTCTCCTGTACCTATCTTCAGGAAATAATGTCTGTATGCATGTCTCAAGCCAGCTGAGTATATACAAACCAGCAAAACAAAGCCATCTCCTACTGTCCTTGCTCCCTACCCTATTTGAGACATTAGTATACAAGGCTGCAATGAACACTGCATTCCTTTGTGTCATTTAAAAGTTATGAACTTCCTGAGACTGGTTTGTGCACACAACAACACCAGTTCATAAACAGCAGAATTGGACTAAAGTTACTTAATGCACAAAAAGTTAGTTGTCAGCTCATGAACTGATACTATAAAACTGAAGCTTTCATAACATGAAAACTGCCTCCCTCATACAGCACTGTATTTATAAATAACAAATAACTGGCAGCCTGATGCAGTAGCATGTGTTTTTCTTCCAGGCCATGTGTAAATTTATGATCAATATCAACAGGTTCATAGCACGAACATTAATATGGATGAGAAATCCAGAACTGACCTTCTATTGGAAAGTTACTGAATTACAATCTGAACAGGAAAATAATTTTGCCTTGCTGGGTTATGTAAGGATCGGAATATTTAATATTGTCGGTCCATGTCAGATTTTTACCAATTTAATGGTATTTTATGCACATTTCTATACCCATCAATTGATGATTTTCGTATTTAGTCACTTAAGTTTATTCCCTGTTACTGAAAAACCACAAATTTAAAAGAAATACAGTGTGATAACACACGTTAAATACTAAAGAGAATTGGAACTACTTTTTGTGTGTGATATAATCCATAATACAAATAATTTTTTTCGCAAATTAAAAAAATGCACATACACCTTCGAAAATTTGTACAGCACCTTTCTCATCAGGACAGATTTCTTTTCTTACAACTGACAGAGGTGTTAGTAGAACATCTATTTCCAACAGAAACCTAACTTACTTGCCGTTCATTGCAAAATATATAAATTTTACATTGTAGAATTACAGGAATTCTTCAATGAGTATGAAGTTATTATGTAACACTAAATTAAGTCTCAACATTTGGACAGAATTAATGGTACAGCCTCGATAACCTCGATAATACACGTGCCAAGCACGGCCTGCAGAGGTCAAGGAATTTCAGTATTAAAAATTCATTGTAACCATTTCAACAATACATAATACACTTATCTTAAAACACACCCCTATCTCTGACGAAAAATAACGCCACACGTATTTTATAGACTACTGAAAAAATTTCAGGATTTTGATATTTGCTTCAAGGCTTTCTTGCTTATACTGCACTTAGTGAACCGCCGCACAGACAATTTCAGTCGCTTTAGTTATACGAATTATTTTATATACGTATTGAACTCCGAGCTTGTATTGTTTCTAAAAGTGTTTGTGTCCAGGACGTCCAGGAATATTAATTCGAAAATACCCAGCTTTTTGTTACCTTTACATTCTACAATAAATAATATCGGTATCACCTTTTTATCAGCATAATTTTACCACCATGGCTGTACATGGATTGCAATATGCTGCCACCTAGTCGGAATAATCAATACTACGGAAACATTGTGCAGCAATCCGTCGTACGTATCGCTAAATATCTTGTAGGTGGCCATGTACGTGCAAATGTTGGTATTACTAACGTCTGTTTGGTCTGTTTTTCACAAAAAGCGCGAAAACCATCCACTTTCGCGGAGGAAATGTTACGAATCCGAAAATTAGACGAATTAGACCCTTAGGTTTCAGTATGGTTGGAGAACCACGTGTCGAGAGGGATTAGTAAACGCGTCATCATAGAATTACGTGGCTTTATCTCACAAGGAAGAAACGTTCTTCAATTAAGGAGTAAGTTGTTTCTATGTAGGTAATACGTGGGAATATACATTGCTTCTTGACAATGAAAATCTAGCGACAGTGCCATAATATGAGGTTACGTTTAACAAACTTCAGGCGGTGGACTGTAAAAAAAAAAGTAAAATTGTTCCTCTGCTTAACTACGTGTAATTAAACACTACGCCATGAAAGCGTATGGGAGAGTGGATGTATAGATGCATGGCACTAGGTGGATGTGAGTGGTCAGCTTCACGCCCCTGCCGCTTTACCCCCGAGGAAAGAGCCCCGGTACCCATTGGATAAGAGGCTGAGTGGGTCCCAGTGTCGGCCTGGACGACGTGGAGGAGAGAAAATTCTTGAACCTACCAGGACTCGAACCCCGACCCCTTTGTCATCTAGCCCGCAGCCAGCCGTTGTACCGACTACGATATCTCGGTTTCTCTCAGGCAGTGTACTGTACCAGAGAAAATTACGGACAAGTGAAAACAATAACTGCTGTGTACAAACAATTCCGCGGTTCAGAGTCCTTGAGAAACTGATGGCTGCTTAATCTGTCTAGAAATTTACCGCCAATTGTGGAATCGGAAGGTCCGTTACCGTGGCTACAAGTTTCTATCCCAAGCCGGATTAACCCAATCGAAGCACTTCCACACTTCTTCAAGCGGAATTTCAGTGTTACAGGTATCCCCCCGTTTACGAAGGTCAATCAGTCCATGAAAGCTGTTTGTGAAGTGAAAACTTCGTAAATCGATATTGAAATTCCCATTACTTTACATGGTATCTCAGTGGGTACAGCGACTAGACATCGGGATGGACAGCCAGGGTTCGATTCCCTGCAGAGACAAGATATTACTCTCTTTTCCATGGTGTCCATGCCGGTTCGAGTGCCAACCCAGGTTCCTCTCCAATGGGTAGCCGGGGGTCATATCCCCGGAGAGGCAGAGGCGTGAAGTTGACCACTGTCCTCCATCTATTGCAGAGGTAAAGAATGGTGAATATACACTCCTATTCCCCGCATGCCAGAGGTTCTTAATTTGGGGTCCACGGACCCAAGTGTGTTCGTGGATAGATTCAAGGGGGTTCGCGGACTTGGATGGGAAAAAATTACATCTTTATTTTCACAACCTCTAACTGAAATTTAGCATTTTCTTCACTCAGGAATATAAGCAACAAACTACAATATTATTATTATTAGTATTATTATTATTACTGTTATAATTATCACTTATTTGTTTGTTTACTTTTACTTTTATTCATTATTATTTATTCCAATTATTTAACTGTAATTTGTATTTGACTTTTAATAAGTTTGTATGTAATGTAATTCAGTCATCTACACTGTGCTGAATCTGTAATTGGCCTTGCGGCTGTTGACTCGGCACATTAATAATAAAGAATTGAATTGAATAGAATAGAATTGAATTGAATCCGTGACTTATTCACTAAAGAAATTGCAGATATTTTCATGTCACATTACAGCTGGTGCAGGTAGAAAATAGTAAAACTATCCCTGTAACAGGCCGTGAAGGCCCATAGGATTTGAGATGTCGAGGCTCCCACACTTTTTAGACAGTCGGCTCACAAATGGCGGTGAGATTGTCAGCCTTACGCGCCAGTCGCCCTTTATCCCTAGGAAGATTCCTGGTACTCAATTCTGTTAGAGACCGGGTCGACCCCAGGGCCATAGTGCGGCTGTGTAGGTTAGGTCAAGTGAAAAATTCAATGACATCGAGAGATCGAAACGGCGACCTTCCGCCCTGTAGTATAGTGCCTCAACTAACTACGCTTCCTTGGACCCTCTCTTATTGACGCAGATATCTCGAAATATCTTTTACGCTTATCGCTACTTCGAAATTATAGTAGTTATTAGACCCGCCTTGGGGTCGCGCTGTAGCGTAGTTGGTTGAGGTACTATGATAAACCCGGAAGGTCGCGGGTTCGAGTTCCTACGAGGTAATTTTTATTTCAATTGACCTAATCCTTCCAGCCGCACTATGGCCCTGGAGTTGACTCAGCCTCTAACAGAAATGAGTACCAGGAATCTTCCTAGGGTGTAAAGGGCGGTCGGCGAGTAAGGCTGACAACCTCACCGCCATCTGTGAGCCGATTTCTAGAAGATGTGGGAGTCTCGGCGTCTCACAACCCTATGGGCCTTCACAGCCTGTTACAGGGATAGCTTTACTTTTTATTAGACCCGCCTCTAGAACGGACATAATCGCAGTCTTCCTGCCTGCAGACGCTCGAGTGACGTGACTGGCCAATTATCGGGCAACTGTGCACCTAGAAGTCGTTCAGCCACTAAATGCTGAAGTGGAGTATTCTCACGTTGATGGCCCAGACATCCACGTTGCTTCCCAGTATTCCCTGTCTACAATTGTTTGTTGATCAACATGAGGAATGAGGTGAGTCGTTTTTATCTTTTGTTAAAACTGGAAAGTTAGAATGAGAATAGTTAACGCTCCGTAAGGTGACGCAGATAGGCGCGCGGGCTACGAGTGTAGATCAGGCAAGTTAAAATACGTCGGACGGTTGAGATAATTTTTGAAATGTGTTATTTAAAGTAACTTCTAATTATTTATAATAGATTGCGCAGTGATACGGGTCGTGCATAATATTGTAAGTTCTGTGAATAGCAGGTTATTTCTTTTATTTGTACTCCCTTTTTGTACATTGTTTGTGTTATGAAGTAAAGGCACGGACACGCAGTGTGTTGTACAAGTGGTGTTCGTGTATTATTATTTCATGACAATACAGCTCATTTTAAAAATAATGTGGCCAGAAACCTGCGAACGGTATCAGAAATGAGAAACATTATTTCTAGGAAGGCATAGAAAACCACATGACTCCTCGTGAAAAACTAGCCAAATTATAGGAAGGACACGACTTCAGAAGCTACTGCTGAAATCTACGTGTCTATCTGAGGGTTAAAAGCCATCAAAAAGTAAAAACTTTGGATAACTTGTGAAACCTGCCTTATTTTACTTGCCTGGCATACAAATTTCTTGAATATCTTACACTTTACTTAATTAGCATAGAAATTACTTGTTTCTATGCAGATTTATCAAACAAAACTACTTAAAAACCATACAAATATTAAGTTTCAAACAATCTCAATGAATTCAGATATTTTATTATAGCTTTATTTATTTTATATTTTTACAAACGCAATTTGAGTTGAAATGTCGAAGAATAGGAAATATGATACAGGCTACTTTTATGTATTATTTGGTTTCACTTGAATTAATGAACATGACGGGACACAAAAGCCACAGTGTTTGTTTCTGGCACGAAGCCAGAGAAATTAAAGTGCACCTCCCGTCTGTCCGTCTTGAAAATGCATCTAAAGATGTGTTTTTTTTTCTTTCGTGCGAAGAACTCTCAATTCGAAAAAGCTGGGACACTTTCAAAATTTGCATTTGCCATTTAACAAAAACCTTTCCTTGAAGCATCCCACATAGTGGCTTACCGGACTGATAAACAAAGGAAGCCCCACACTATTGGAGATATTTTAGTAAAGCCATGTGCATTGGAGATGGTGGAGGTGGCCTGTGGACCGGAACAGAGGAAAACACTGGAAGCGGTTCCATTGTCAAATGATGTGTTATGTTCCAGAATAGTTCATATTTCTTTTAATATTTTAAAGCATGTCATCGAGGAATTGGCATCAGCACCACTCCCCATCAGTATGCAACTGGATGAAGCTACAAACACCTCTCAAAGTAGCCAGCTCTTTGTTTGTGTTCGCTATATACACGCTGACGCCATCAAAGAAGAATTTTTATTTTGCGAGTTCTATTTGGAAACTACAAAGGTCGTCGACATTTCGGAACTGGCAAACAGTTTTTTTGTTAAATAAAAGTTTGATCGGAAAGACAGGCTTCATACTCTTTGAACAGATTGAACTCCTGCGATGCTTGGTAACATATATTTGGTTTCTCTACATTAGTGAAAGAGGGAGCTTCTCACGTCGTCACTCATTGCTTTTACACAGACATGCATTGGCAATAATGGCTCTTCCAACGACCCCGAAGGAAGTTTTTTCAACAGACATAAAAATTATTAGTTTTATCAGAAGGAGATCTATTAATCATCGCATTTTTAAAACATTTTATCAAAAAATGGTACCTGAGTATGAAGTGCTTCTCTACCGCACAGAAGTTCGTTGGCTTTCAAGTGGACAAGTCTTGAAGTGTTTGTTCGGACTAATTCACTTTTCTGAAAGAAAGAAAACCCCCACTTTTGGAACATTTTGAAAGAAAGTTTTCTATCCGTGGAATGGCTTACCTCGCAGATATTTGTAACCATGCGAAGAAGCTAAAGCTAAATTCAAG